TGACGGCCCCTGGAGGGCGCCCTGACGCTCCGACCTGGGAGAGGGTGTCGCGTGGCCGCGCGGGGTTGTCCCTCCCACCTTCTCCGGAAAACGCCAATCTTCCCCGGTCCTCGCACCCCTGGCACTTCACCCACCTGGAGGCCATCCCCTTCTGGGTTTAATTGGCGTTTCCCTGCTTCCTGCTGAGGTCACTTTTCCATAAGTCTGTTGGCCATTTGTATTTCCTCTTTTTTTAAAGTGTCTCTTCTCGTTTTTTGGCGACCCCCCCCCCCCCCCCCCACACACACACACAGTTTAGATGTTGGTATGTTTCTTACTGGTTGGCAGTCCTTTCTGCCTCCTGGTTCCCGCTCCTTCCCTGTGGCATGGGTGTTGCACATGATCTCCTCCCACTCTGTGGCTCGCCTTTTTACCCTCTTAATGAAAAGGTGTCCTGATAAAGAGAAGATCGTGATTTTAAAGTCGTTGAATTGTATCTTTCCTTTAAGGTTGGTGCTTTTTTTCCTTTTTTTTTTTTTTTTGGTAGAAATCCTTCTCAAGGTCTTGAGAACGTTATCTATTCTAGAAGGTTTGTTTGCTTCACACTTAGACCTGTCATTAGAGTCGCCATAGTACCTAGGTTTACGTCTCTTCTCCTAGCATCTGAAGTGTCTGTGAAGTTTCCTTAAGCTTTTTTTCTGGGAGAGAAGTTAATAGCACTTCTTTGCTAGTTCTGATTCTGGCCCTTGTAGACGGATGGGTTCTGGTGTGGGATGGAGAAACAAACGGAAGAGCCGGGTCTGGGCCCAGCGTTCACACCCACGGGCCAGGCCAGGTGGCATCTATCCTCAGTGCCCTGCGCCCCGGGGAGCTGTGGGGAGCTCATCGGAGCTGAGGCTGGGGCACAATGAGGGTCCAAATTGCCAGGGCAGATCCACTGCGGCGGCGGCGGCGGCGGTGGCGGCAGTCAGCGGAGCTCTGTTTCTGTGCTGGGAAGACAACTGTGGGCTTTCGGATCGAAAACATCCCTCTGAAGCAGGTTAATAATGAGCTTTGTGTGTGTAAATGATTGTAAAACACAGCGAAAGACATGTTAGGTACAGTCGGTTTGTTTGACAAGTTATATTTCTGGAGTCCAAATATATAGTATGTTTCTTCTACTGTTCGAGTTTACTGCCAGTAGAAATGCCTCGAGCTTTTGTCAGCCGGTGGCCGGTACGTGGTGTAGTGCAGAGCCATGCACAGAGCAGTGGAAGGCAGGTCCTGTGTGAGAGGGTTCTGGTCCACCAGATCCATCCAGAGACCCACGTGCCTCCTGGTACAGAAACGTCAGGGCGTCACTAAAGGTCTGAGTGCAAGTGTCACTTTGCTCCCTGGGGCATAGTTTATGTTCAGCAGATTAACCTGGGCTCTCTTTTATCTACTCCTGACCCTTGTACTTTGCTGTTGACATCAGTTTATCCTCCCCCCGCCCCCCCCCAGTAACCACCTTTATACACACAACGCACATAAACCCCAGTGGGTTTCAGTCTCCCCTTCCCTCTATCTCTCTCCCCCATTGAACCTTTTCTGCTCCAGGTGAAAGGGTCTATTGGCCAGTGTGAACTCCCAACAGTGCTAGCGTAGAGCCCAGCACATGGCAAGCACTCCGTAAACATTTGTGGAATGAACACTTGCCTTGGCCATGTTTGCATGACTTTGTATAACAAGGGCGAGGGCAGACAGCTGAGTTTCTTAGTGACTATCATTGACTTCCAGGCTTAGCCCCTTGTTTGTCTGTGATTTAGGTGTTAGGGATTTTTTTCTTTTAGAAACAAAAACACCACTTCTCTTCAAGGCATTGTTGCCTGTATTTAGATATGTGAATTAGGACGTGCACATGAACTTCTAGTTGCACTTTTCTATAGTTTCTGCAAGTTTTCCTTTGCCAAAGATAGAGGGGAGGGAAAGATTACATTTTTAGCTGCTTCATCTACCTACCACCTTACGTATCACAAGGAAAAACAAGTGTTGAAATTAATTAGCAGAGTGTAAGGAAGGAGCTATGGACACAGTGTGGGCCACCCTGGGAGCTGGGCACGCCTGACTGAGTGGTGAGAGGGGGTAGCCAAGGGCAAGGAGCAAGGAGCACTAGACTCAACACTGGACGTTGGCTCATTGGCTTTGCAAAGGGAAGGATGACTGTAAACAAAATCAAAGTAGAGATACCATGAATCACTTGTGATGAAGAGTTTACTCCTAACGAATAATAGTTTCTACAGAAGAAGTTAAAAATGGACAGTGGTTAACAAAGATTACACCATCAGAAAGAGCTGAGGAACGACCTAACTGCCTCTGTTTAACTCGTGGAGGTGGGGGAGGAGGTGGAGACAGACACGTGTGCAGGCCAGCTCTGCGACTCTGCCCTTTTGGCTCAGGCTCTTCCAAACGTTTTGCAATGCATGACTTAGCTGTTATTTGGGGAATTGAGGGAGACATGTTCATTCTGCTAATAAAGACTGAGTACCTATTATGTGTTAAGCAGTTATTAAGCCCTGGAAATTCCAATATGAGTAAGAAAGTGACTCCTTCAGAGAGCTCACAGTGTGGTCAGGAAGACAGCTGAGAAAATAATGACAGTGCAGCATGTGCGGGGTTAGAGTGCAGAACCTAGAGTATGAGAGAGCAGGGGCCTGGGCTATTCCCCTTTGTTCGGGAAGAGTTACCTTTGATGTAAGGCTGAATGAGAAGGACAGTGGAAGAAGGAAAGTCGCTAGGACATGTGGGACAGTGGGACTGTGTGGGGGAAGCCTAGGAGTCTGATGGAGTAGAGGAGGGCCTGCAGCAGTGAGTTCTGCCGAGGCTGAGGCCTGAAGGTTAATGGGAGCTGCGGCAGAAATGAGGCTACAAGGGAGGCAGAGCCTGGTGAGGAAAAGCCAGAGCTCTTTCCTGTGGCTGACCCTGGACTCCAGCCCGCGCAGCCTGGCATCAGTCCAGCCAGCCCTCTCTGTCCCAAACACTGGAGATGTATACAGTAATGTCCGTCATCCTGAAAGCAGCCCTCTATTCATCATTTGGAGTGGCACTGAAGCCAGTGTTTCTGGAACTCTGACTAAGCAGTGATAGACATGGCCAAGTGTCCCAATCCCAGAGAAGCAGAGATCATAATAATATTAGTAATATGTGAGTGCTCACTGGGTGCCAGGCACCATTGGCAGCGCTGGACATGCACCTACTCACTTCACCCTCCTTCGACCCAAAGAGGCAGGTGGTGGTGTTAGTCCCATTTTACAGATTGAGGACACAGGCTCAGAGGTTGAGTAACATAGTAAGTGATGGAGCTGGGATTTGAACCCCCTGTACCTGGCCTGGGAGAGAAGTGGCAGGGTTAGGATGGAGAAGAAACAAGAAATGAAAGTTAAAAAAAAAAAGCAAAAATTGCCCTAGCCGGTTTTTCTTGGCCCACAGACTGAAGGGTCACAGATTGAAGGGTCCCAGGTTCAATTCTGGTCAAGGGTACATACTTCGGTTGCAGGCTTGATCCCTGGCCCTGATCAGGCATGTGTGGGAGGCAACCAATCGATGTGTCTCACGTGTTGATTTTTTTCTCTCTGTCTCTCTCCCTTCCACTCTCTCTAAAAAAAAAAATCAATCAATAGAAAAATATCCTTGGGGGAGGATTAGCAACAACAAAAAGGCTGAAATGGGAATGAGGATTATCAGTTGTAAAGGCAGAAAAACACAGACCTTCTGACAACAATTGCAGAAAGTCAGCTCTGCAAAGTCTGAAAGGACTAGAGGTGGGGAGTGAAGTAGTCGGGGGAGAGGGGGAGAGCAGAGATCCCCAGGTCTGCTGTGCCAGACACTGAATTCAGGAAAATTGGTATTGAACTCTGTCACAGCACATGAGCACTGCAGGGACCTTGGAGAGCTCCTAATTCAATGCCTCTAATGTGGATATTGAGGCCAGAGAGGAAAAATATCTACAGTGTCACAGCCAGAACAGAATCCAGGTCTTACTACTTGCAGACTAATGTTTCTGCAGTTTGGCAGCCACTCATCCTCCTGCTAATACCCTAATTTTCCTCTAAGGAACCACCCTTTTGCTTCGCTGAGCCCTCGTGCCATGGGTCTTGGTCTGCTCTGGCTGCTGAAACAAGAACACCATAGGCTGGGTGGCTTACCCAACAAATATTTCTCACAGTTCCGGAGGCTGGGAAGCCCAAGATGAAGGCTGCAGCAGATCTGCTGTCTGGTGACAGCCTACTTCCTGACTTGCTATATCTTCACAGGGGAGGGGGCTGCAGCTGTCTCATACCTCTTATAAGGGCAGTACTCTCATCACGAGGGCTCCACCCCCATGACTTAATTACCTCCCAAAGGCCCCATCTCCAAATAGCATCCCACTGGGGATTATGAATTTGAGAGTAGGGAATGCAACTCTATAACCCATAACAACCATTCCCTCACAAGTTAGATTCCAGGTTAGACATAGGACTGCACGAAGCCATCAGGGTGAATCAGAGGCTTCTGCCTTTTCTCCCACTAGAGCTGGCCCATGTGAAGCCTCCCAGTCATCACAATCGGGGGGGAAAGTCGGTCTGCATCCTTGGAAAGGAGCAAGATCCAGGGGGAAGGAGGGAACCTAGGTCCAGTGACAGTTGAAGCCTCTACGAGCACTGTGCCTGGCCTTTCATCAGTCACGTCTCCTTTTTTGTTTTCTTTCCTTCTCCATCCTAACTTTGGGAATAACATCACCTACCTACCTCTCTGGGATGTCTGAGGGATGAAGTGAGAAGGTGTGTGCACAGCCCTTACATCAGTGCCTGGCACCAGCAAGCACTTGCATATTACTGGTATTCATATCAGCAACTTTGAACTAAGGTTCTTTCACACAAAAGAATCTGAACAAAACAGTGATCTGTTATTGCAACCACACCACACTGTATTCACAAAAGTGCATATTGAGTTAATTGAAAGGGAGGTTATCCTGGATGAACTTGGTTTAATTAGGTAAAAGTCTTTTTAAAGAGGGCTGCAGCTCTTTGAGGCTAGAAACTCTCCTGCTGGCTTTGCAGAAGCAAACAACTGTTGTGAGCAGCCTCTGGGGAGGGCCACGGGGCAGGGGACCACAGACCTTTAGGTTCCGAGGGCAGCCAACAGCTCACAAGAAGCTGGGGCCCTCAATCCTTAGCTGGAACTGAATCCTGCCAACAACTTGAATGGGGCTGACAGCAGATTCCTCCCCACTCCTACTTGCAGGTGAGAACACAGCCTGGCTGACTCCTTCTTTGTGAGACCCCGAGGGGAAGACTAGCTAAGTAAGCTGTGCCGACTGCTGACCCATGGAAACTGTGAGGTAATAAATGTGCATTGTTTTAAGTTGCTATATCTGTTGATAATTGGTGGTGTAGCTAGAAAACTAATATATTAGGAGAGTGCTAATATTTGGGTATGTTGTTTTCCCGGATCATAAAATGATGCTGTGTATGTGTTTTTGTCTGTGTAAGTAGAAACAGGTGAATGCAAGAGACCAATAAACAAAGTCAGTGGCCCCAGAACGAGCAGGAACTGTCAGCACTGGTGGTTACTCCTGAGAACCAGAGGTGCCTAGCCCGCTGCTCACACACAAAAGCTAGGTAATGAGCAGGTCAGCAGTGAGTTCCCAGATAATACACTACCCAGATGTCCTCAAGAGAAGACACACCACGAAGATGCAATCCTTCATTTCTTGGTGACATATTTATAAATGATCTTGCTCATTTTAATACAGTACTAAGAAGGCAAACATACATTTTTCACAATGCTAATCACGTCACTGTTTTGCAATGACAAGACTAGGCTAGCCAATCATAAAAACCCAAAGATGGGTTATGTACTACTACCAAGCAAAACTTTTAAAATGCGTTGTTGTAGGGGAGATACAAGGATGCAGAGAACTAAAACCTATGTGAAGGGTTTGAGCTTAATGCAACTTTAATCTGATGGGCTTGGGAAGAGCAATCTAGAGCCAGCCCTACCCAAGAATCAGGCCGTCTATAGCCAAAACTAGAGGTCTGGTGCATGAAATTCATGCACTTTGGGGGGGTGGTCCCTCAGCCCAGATTGTGAGAGGGCGCAGGTCAGGCCGAGGGAACCCACCAGTGCACCATTGGGGCCATGGAGGGACACGGGAGGGCTCCAGAGTGTGGCCGGCCCGTCTTGCTCAGTCCCAATCCACCGGACCCCAGCAGCAAGCTAACCTACCAGTCAGAGCATCTGCCCTCTGGTGGTCAGTGCATGTCATAATGAGCAGTTGAGCGGCCTTAACATATCATTAACATATTATGCTTTGATTGGTTGAATGGCCAACCAGACGACCGGACACTTAGCATATTAAGCTTTTATTATATAGGATGCCTTAACTCACTTGTTAGGGATGGCATTCTTTTTCATTGGGGCCTTCAACCCTGAAAAAATATCAAAGTACACATAGCAGTAACCCAAAAAAGGTATTTTTAAAAAAGTAAAGGAAATAATGGACATGTTGGTTAAATCCATGATGTTGATATTTAGAGTAAGAAGTTGGTTTTGTTACTGTTGCATTAGTATATGCTTGTTTTGTTAACTAAAATGTTTGCAGTATTCAAAAGAACCAGACATGCCCTAGCCAGTTTGGCTCAGTGGATAGAGCATTGGCTCATGGACTGAAGGGTCCCAGGTTCAATTCCGGTCAAGGGCACATACCTCAGTTGCATGCTCCTCCCCAGCCTGGGTCCTGGTCAGGGCGCATGCAGGACGCAACCAATCGATGTCTCTCTCACATTGATATTTTTCTATGTCTTTCCCTCTCTCTTCTACTCTCTCTAAAAATCAATGGAAAAATATCCTCAGGTGAGGATTAAAAAATAAAAATAAATAAGAGAACATGCCAAATGAGCAACATGGGAAGTCAGAGGAGGAAGGAAAGACTGGCCTGTGTGGTGGGTGCTTCTCGTGCAGGGGCACGAGATCTCGGCTGGAAGACAAAAGCATAGTGGAGAGCCATTGAAGGTTTACAGCAGGGAATGCTGGTAACCATGACTGAGCACATGGCTCTTAAAGATGATTCTTCTGATAGTTGGTGTGAAGGGGTTGCAGAGAGACTGGACGTGACGGAGACCTAGATCTGCTGTCACGAGATGGAAAAGAAGGCTGTGTAGCCTTTGAAAGAAAAAACACACATCTATACCTCCATAAGGCTGTTTTTAAAAAAGAAAGAACAAGACTACAGGTCCCAGTTCCCACATGTAGAAATAGAGGAAGGGGATATGTTTTCACTGAAACTAACGAGATGAAAGGTATGGATTTGGCTTGTAATCGTGAACTTGAGGTGACAGCTCAGATTTGGAAATGGATTCCTCAGACAATGTGGCATGTTGTATGCAGTTAAGAATTATTCTTCAGGAAAAAAAAAAAGAATTATTCTTCAGGAGAAACCAAGATGGCAGCATAGGTAAACACCAGAAATTGCTGCCTCGCACAACCACTTCAAAAATACAACTAGAAGACAAAACGGACATCATCCAGAACCACAGGAAGGTTGGCTGAGTGGAAATTCTACAACTAGAAGGAAAGAGAAAAGCACACTGAGACTCAGAGGAGGTGCGGAAGTAAAGTGCAGAGGTATGGAGGCGGAGGCGCGCGTGAGGAAAGGGCTGGCAACTGAGGACACAGTTGTCTTTTTCAATCGGGAGGGAGTCTCAAGCTCCCGACTGCTCTGAACTCCAGTTCTGGGCGAGTCTCTGGG